GGATGCCCCGATACTAGTATTGGTATCAGTGCTGATAATTGGGCGATACCGGGAACTTCTGGTCATAGGAAGTTTCCTCTGACCAGCAGTGCCATAGGGGAACATGGAGCCGGCTTTCCGGCCGACCCAGCGGAGAGCCGAGTCATTACTTGCCGCTCGGGTTCCTAATTGGCCGGGAAGCCATCTCGATGCTGATCGCCCGGGAAACCCGCTTCCCAGCCAATCAGGAAGCCGGGAGGTGGGTCATCAACCTCCCGGCTAAACATGAGTTTATCGCAAACTAGTGTAACTGACATGAGTTTGCAATAAAATCTACGAACTTTGATCCTAGAAGGATTTGGTGTGCTGGTGACGTTTCTGCAATTATCTTTTCTCGTGGGTCATTACTTGCCGCTCGGGTTCCTAATTGGCTGGGAAGCCAGCTCGATGCTGATTGGCTTCCCGGCCAAACAACATGGAGCCGCCTTCCTGGTCAATCACGAAGCTGGGCGGCATGTCATTACCCGCTTCCTGATTGCCCCGGGAAGCCGACTCCATGCCAGCGGAAGTATCGGCAAGTACCGAAAGCAAAATATCGTTACTCGATACCGGAAAATAATGGTATCTGGGCATCCCTATACACCGAGCGGGCGGATTATTATAGACACCGAGCGGGCGGATTATTATAGACACCGAGCGGGCGGTTGTATATAATAATCCGGCCACTCGGTGTATATAATAATCCGGCCACTCGGTGTATATAATAACCCGGCCACTCGGTGTATATAATAATCCGCCCACTCGGTCTATAAGACCATGCTTCATGTTATACCCCAGACATCGACGTAACGGAAAGTATAATCCTAAACATGAACTTGCCTTTTAAAACTGAAAATGTTAATCTGGGTAATGGGTGGAGGCTGCCGGGCAGTCGGCCATTGTGTGTTTTCTTAGGGACATGCCTTTAGCTTTGTTCTGCCCTTCTTCGGAGTCTTGCTTCTCCTGCTATTCCGGCCACTCGGTGTATATAATAATCCGGCCACTCGGTGTATATAATAATCCGGCCACTCGGTGTATATAATAATCCGGCCACTCGGTGTATATAATAACCCGGCCACTCGGTGTATATAATAATCCGCCCACTCGGTCTATAAGACCATGCTTCATGTTATACCCCAGACATCGACGTAACGGAAAGTATAATCCTAAACATGAACTTGCCTTTTAAAACTGAAAATGTTAATCTGGGTAATGGGTGGAGGCTGCCGGGCAGTCGGCCATTGTGTGTTTTCTTAGGGACATGCCTTTAGCTTTGTTCTGCCCTTCTTCGGAGTCTTGCTTCTCCTGCTACAACGGGGGGGGGGCAATGTATTTATTGTGTGCTGGATATTATAAATTAGCAAAGTGTTGTGCCGTGTTTAGTCCATCATTCAATGCAGACAGTTTCCAAACTCTTACTTTAAATCCAATAAATATATTCCAGCGGGCGTCAAATCGCAATGCGAGCAAAGTCTCACAGTTGCTGTTGTTTAGAAAGCAGCCACAGCTTAAGTAGAGCGGCCCGTCCCCTGCCAGCATGCCGCAGAAAAGGAGCCGCGGTCTCTTTGCGGAAGCGGCGGTCTCTTTGCGGAGCTCCAACGTGCCTCCGCCAAAGTCAGACCTTATAGCTCCACATTGAGCCAAACCCGTGCTCCCTGCTGATGGGTGAGTTCCAGCTGCTGCTACCACACGGAGATTCTGCTCTGCAGCATGCTGGTAAGGGGACGGGCCCATCTACTCTGTGGC